AAAAAAAAAAAAAAAAAGATCAGCAGTCAGAGAAAGCATTGAAGTTACCCAAGAGAGAAGTAACACCTCTACACAAGTAAGTGTTGGTAATGTTTCTGGTAAGTTAAAAATGAACCCTTTATAACCTAACATCAGTATTCCAGTTCTCCATACTGTTCTCTTTACATTTCCTATGGAGGTTACAAAGAGAATTTGTCTAACAATCAAGAACGTCTTGAGTTTACAATCCTATTCTTCATTCCCATAACCTTCATTTTGATTCATGGAATGTTGGGAGAAATTAGATGTTTACAGGGCTCAACACTAATGGTAGCCAACTAGCCACAGACTAGTAGAAATTCAGGTTTGGCTGGTCGTTTTCAATATCCAGCGGCCAGTTTGCCTAGTAAACAGAGTGAAATTGTAGTAACATCTAAGACATAACTAGTCACTTGGCTAGTAAGCTGAAAAGTTAGTGTCAAGCCCTGTGTTTATCACTTTTAGGGGTTAAAGGGTCAAGTCGCTCCATATCTTACACCTCTTTTCGAAAATCGTATTTTCCACCAAAATTCAAAGCATCTGCTTGTAATCCAATACGGGAGCCAATGACGCACTTACCCACACGATTATCAAAGTCCGGCTTATAGAGGAGCGTTGTCATCCCCCGTTCATGGTAGTTATAGTTTGACTGCAATAAAGTGGTCGTCTTCCCTGCATTCATCGCAGAATAGTAAAAGTGCAGTTTAGCCATGCGTTAGAACACCTTTTAAAATGACAAAAGCTAAAGCTTCTTTTTCAAAGATGTCCCTCTTATAAAAGATTGTGCACTTTTTGACCACCAAAAAAGAACAAAAAAGCTCATCCAACTTAGAAAATTGGCTAAAAAGAGTGGCTTTCTTCAAATTTTAGGGCCCCTGGCAGCAACAACCTCTAACAAATAATCTTTTTTAAAACAGTGTTGTGTCACCATATTTTCCCACACCATACATAGCACACAAAAACATTTGCCCCCCTGATTTACTTTTAAAGAATCAACTGTTTTGTTCCTTTTGACAGAAAGGGGCTATACTTGTTTCCTTCTCAATACTTAAGCTTTCTAACTGTCTTAAAAGATCTAAAAGCTCCACTTTTGTTAACTCTTTTAATTCTTTTTTTTAATTTTTCCTGTTGTCCCCATAAAAAGTCCTATCGCTTTTCCTTGTAATTCTTTTGCACGAATCGCTGCTCCCATACTTCCAGCCTCTATCGCCATCTGAAAAGTGCGTTCCAAGTCTTCTAAAATTTGTTCCTTAGATGCCAAAAACTTTTTCTCAAACGCCTGCCTCACGATTTTCCTACCTGTGTAGTATCTTCTTATCTTTTTTTTGGCCTATTTAGGATCTAGATTTGCCCACTTTTTGTCCATTTTTTAATCCCCTATTCTCTATCCATCAAAAAAAGGATGTGATAGAAAAACAAAAGTACAATTAATGAAGTGCCCTTATTTTATGCCAAGATCGCCTATCCTTTCTGGTCCCTTTTATATGCTGACTGGAATATTTGTCTTAAGCTGTGCCAACATTTTCGTAAAAACGCTCTCCGAGCAATATGATATTTTTCAAATTGTCTTTTTTCGAAGTATCTTTAGTGTGCCGTTCTTATGGTGGCTCCTAAAACGGAATAGAGCTTTCTCGACAAGCAAACCTTTGCCGCAAAAAGGACGTCTTCTTTTTATTGCTATTATCTCACCTTTCGGTCTTTGGTGTCTCTTTTCTACATTTCGCGAATTACCGATCGCAAACACCCAATCTCTCACATATGCATCAAGTCTTTTTATCACCGCACTATCCCCTCTTATTTTAAAAGAACATNAAAGGGTCAAGTCGCTCCATATCTTATAAGCAGATTTAACTCTTGAATAAGTGACAACATTTTTTCCAGCACCCTTTCCAGGTCTATTTTCTCTCTAACATTAGTCTCTTTGCTTCTCACCAGTGTCTGGAACATCTGTGGGCCTCATGATTCTTCTTATCTGTTCCATAGACTGTAAATCTGGTGAAAGACCTGTAGCACAAACAAATAGGGAAAGCATGCAATGTTAGAGAATAAATGTGAACATAAACCACAACAAAGAAACAAAGAGTCTGAGACAAAATTGAGAAATTGCTTCCAAAGAAAAAAAAATCAAACAGTAAATTTTAGTATTTTACCATGTTTTGTGTTCTGGGGAAACAAATATTTGCAACTGAAGACGACAAGAGTTTTTACTAGAGACTACTTATGACCATGCATGACTATGAATAATGCTCAATCACCTCCGTGGCAACAGAAGATCTTTTCATCCACTATAGCAGCAATTGGTAAACAGTTAAAGCAGTCTGTGAATGTTTTCCACAACTTGATGTTATAGCGTCTTTTGCCTGTGAAACACGACACAAAGGAATTTCATTTAGCCAATCAAGGTACAAAATCAAAATAAGTGATTCTGGTGTTAAAAAATTATGACTCTTTTAAGAAAACTTTTTTCAATCTTCTTTTCAGGACCCGATTAACAACACTGCCATTAAAAGGTCCATTTGTAAGGAAATTTAAAGGAAAAGAGGTTTCAGAAAGGCAAAGAAACATCAAAACGTAGTACAACAAATCTAGCCCCATTAATTTCCCTGAGGGCTTGAACTACACATAATCAGTTCACATGATCCAAAAATTGCTACTATAAATTTCTGTTGCAGAAGAATAACTCTGATAATGAAATAGATTTATAACCTATTTGCTTTGCCCATACTTACATTCATCATAGAAGCCGTATATTCTGTTAATGCTTGCACACTCGTGGTTTCCTCGCAACAGAAAGAAGTTTTCAGGATATTTGATCTTATAAGCTAACAAAAGACAGATGGTTTCCAGGGACTGCTTTCCTCTGTCCACATAATCACCCAAAAACAGGTAGTTTGCCTCAGGAGGAAAACCTCCACATTCAAATAATGTTAAAAGATCTGGGTAGTGTCCATGAATGTCACCTGCAAAACAAAAAGAATAAAAAAAATAATTAGACAAAACATGCTGATGATCCAAGTTATTTTCAAGGAGATGTCATGACATGAAGTAAAAAAACTAAGACACATCTGGTGCTCTTTGTGCATTTCATGTGTGTCAAGAAATGCTTCTTCATGTCCAATAAATTCTAATTCAAGTAACACATCTACTAAAGCCCTCTGTGAGGGGTACACTGATACATGTACATGTAGTAGCAGACCCTAATATCACAGGAAAAGATGAATAATGAAATGCTTAATGGCTTTTCTTATAGTTACTTAAATTTTTTGCATGAAACTATCCATGTACCAATTTTCATTCCAGAATTTGAAATGCTGACCAGAATTATTCACACAAACACACCTAACATAACAAACTCAATGTTCACTAACAACCACATATGCAAAAGGAAAATATTTTATCTGTATCATAAACATCTAAAGGTTCAAAAGCATGTACTTCTGTTTGGGTTAAACATGCAGACAGTGATGTTGATCCCAATCTTTCATTAAGAGCTTCACAAACTTTAAAACCACCAATGACAATACATTACAACTGATTTTAAAGTGTCTTTCTTGATGTACTTTTGGGACTAAGAACGAAGCATATGTCTATAAAATTCTGCACAACAGATGATTTTGTCTCTCTTCAGAATGTTGAACAATACAACTACATGTAAAGATAAAATATGGACCTGTCCAAAGCAGGTTCTGGCAATTCTGTGATTCTGAACGAATTTATTTGGAGAGCTCAGTAGCTTGCAGGTACCATGAAAAGGTGATGGAAAATGAAATGTTACCACAGATTTTGATATAAATGAAATTCTGATGTCCGGCAACTAGTATGTTATCTTCAAGTGAAGACATGCTTTCGTACAGCAAACAATAGTTTTCTTTTTTTGCCTGTTTAAGACAGACCCTGAACAGCTCGAATCGAAAAGAGATTTTAAGGGAAAACCAATTCTTATCACGGAATTTGAAAAAGGAAGATAAGTATATCTCATAGTTATGTTGCTTAACGCAATATCAAACTGCACAGAAGTCTTACCGACCCATCATTACCATCACAAAGCCATATCTACTACTACTTCCGCACAATTAGTCGCTACAGTAAAACTTATTTGCATCTAGCAAAGAACTCTCGCAAGGTTACAAGAACTTGATGACAATAGCAACGTTTTTTTTTTTACAATTTTGATCTCTTCCTTTTAATTAAAAGCCTACTCCCACGATTCAATTTTTGTTCCTCACGAAATTTATGATCTGTAGTTCTTCGTAGGAAACTTTTAAAATTTTCATACCCCAAGGCATTAATTCCTAATCTACGAACGCCTTGATTTCTGAATTAACTTCAATGGTTCCATGACAGCTATTTCATTGCGCCTTGGTATCAACTCGCTCATTCGAACGATCAGCGATTTAGCAGTGAAAACACGAGTTCATCGAGAGTTATTGTAGAAAACTACATACCAAAGAAACAAAATAAACGAGATCATGTCAAATTAATGGATCAAACTTAAACTCGGGAACTCCCAAACAAAATATCCAGTTCACGACCTACAAGAATAATCGGGAATATTTATAATTCAGGTAGAAAAAAATATTAGCCTGGAGAAGCGGTGAACAGTCGGCCAGCTACTGACCTGACGTGTAATACGCGAATATGAAATGAAAAAATCTACGCTACGCGTTCCAACTCGGCATTCCTCAGACTGCGGATCTGGTTCTTAGATAAAGACGTCCTGTAACACTTGATTAAATTGCAAAGGGCTTCAGCGGTTCACCATAGCCTACTTACCGCATATTTTGAGAGGAGCCTCTAACTCCAGCAGAATGGGTTGGTTCAAAAAGATTTCCCTGGACTTGAGACACAGTCCACGGACTTCAGATTCTGCTAGTTGAACACTCTTTCCCGGTCTTCCGCGAGCTGAGAAAATAAAGATAAAGGTTATATCTCACCTTTACGAGGTGAAGGAATCAGAAAAGACTGCAAAGATTTTAACCTTCTAACAAGCGGGTTATTATGCTATCCACATTCAAGTCGCCCTCCGCCATATCAACTACCAAATAATTTTTAGTCAACGACAGTTTCTGGAGGCATTTTCCTTATTTGGAATTCTTTTCCGTATTTGGTAACATTACCCACGTGATCATCAGACAAGGCCAAGATGGCGACTAAAGCGGCCACATTTGTGTATAAGAGTTGTAATCGCTTATGGAGGTCTTTTAGTCTTCAAGATCTCCCATTTAGACTAACATTTGGAAGATTACAGATACTAAGGTAATTTGATAGGGTAATAATTATAAGCTAGTCGCTGATTGGGGCTGTATTATGGGCCATAAAAAGGGTTTCTCCTCAAATATCACAGACAGTTACATCGATAACTCATGCTCAGGCCAGGTGTTGCAATTGAAAGACTTCTGACCGGTAGAAAGAAGTTTCTTTATGAACACCATTTAATGTTTCCTTGAGATTAATTCTTTTTTAGTCAGAGGACATTGTACTTTAAATTCGTGAATGATCTCGTGCGATAATTTGCAGGTCATCGATCGAGTGTTCTCTGCTCACGTGCAGTCTATTTTAATTATGTTAGCACGTGAGCTGCAGAGATCTAACCCTTTGAGAAAATTGTTTCTGATGCATTTAAAAAGTAACAAATTTAAATCCACACTTAAATATATATACGAATGCTATCTCACAAGGCTGCAAATAACTAACGGGCAGTCGCCGGTCACATTGTCCGGTCAAACATGCTTTTGCACGGACACTACCCGTTTTTGGCCGATCAAATTTTAACAGTCGGAACTCTTGCGATAGTGAACCCAGATTGCTCAGTAATCCTTTTACAACTAAAAAACAACTGAATCCAAGTCGGTCTGGCAATAAAAATTACAAGTTAATAATTTTACCACTCTTTACTGCAGAAGCAGCCAAACAAACTCTCTTTTTATATTTGACTTTTTTTGTTTTCAGTTCAACTCAGAGCCCCTTTTTTTTTTAAAGTTACCATTGTGAATTTTTGTTAGAGTAAAAGAGTGGTCAGATTCTCCAGGGTTTGGGCCTTTTGCTCGCTTTTTGCACTTTGCAACAAATGCTACTTGGAGTATTCTCAATGCAGTGAGATTATTCTTTGTGAGGGTGCTCAGTTTGCGATCATTCAATCAATCAAACAATCAATCACTTTATTTAAGAGTAAATTATGGTATCTAGCAAAGGTAAAACCCTCTACTAACTGGGAACACTTAAATAAAGCAAATAAAATAACGGAATACACGATGATTTGCGGTCGTGACAGAACTTGATGACATCATGGAAATTTGTGACTGCTGGGAATTTCTAGACCACTAATTTGTCTTCTTTTATATTAGTTTTTTTACTTTCGGAAACATTACTGTTGTCCCTTGTGATTATCAAACAGTTAAAAATTAAAATTTCTTTGAACAAATCGGTAAAGGACTGGACGAGATGTCCAGCAATCCAAGGATTTGTCTGGTCAGTACCCAATTTTGACCGGACATTGTCCGTTGATCGGCTGTTATTTGCAGCCCTGTCTCATCACCTCAAACAGTGATGAAGACCTTACTTCCATGCCCTCCTCGGTTACTTTGCATATCACTTTCACTCAGATATTACTTCAGGCATTTTAAGACACAATATATCTGCCATTAATGTTTAAGTTCTTATTTTAAGGATTTCAGCTGTTGTTTCCTTTTCATGTCCTTTTTTTAGTACTCTCTAATCTCATTGCTGCATGTAAAACCAGCTGAAACATAGCCAAGAGGTTTGAAGCACCAGGTTGATTCTTAAGTCATACCCAGTACATAGGTTTGAACTTAAACCTCTTGATACTTCCTNTGCTCAGTTTCCGATCATTCAATCAATCAAACAATCAATCACTTTATTTAAGAGTAAATTATGGTATCTAGCAAAGGTAAAACCCTCTACTAACTGGGAACACTTAAATAAAGCAAATAAAATAACGGAATACACGATGATTTGCGGTCGTGACAGAACTTGATGACATAGTGGAAATTTGTGACTGCCGGGAATTTCTAGACCACTAATTTGTCTACTTTTACATTGGTTTTTTTTTTACTTTCGGAAACATTACTGTTGTCCCTTGTGATTATCAAACAGTTAAAAATTAAAATTTCTTTGAACAAATCGGTAAAGGACCGGACAAGATGTCCAGCAATCCCAAGGATTTGTCTGGTCAGTACCCAATTTTGACCTGACTTTCTCCGTTGATCAGCTGTTATTTGCAGCCCTGTCTCGTCACCTCAAACAGTGATGAAGACCTTACTTCCGTGCCCTCCTCGGTTACTTTGCATATCACTTTCACTCAGATATTACTTCAGGCATTTTAAGACACAATATATCTGCCATTAATGTTTAAGTTCTTATTTTAAGGATTTCAGCTGTTGTTTCCTTTTCACATCCTTTTTTTAATACTCTCTAATCTCATTGCTGCGTGTAAAACCAGCTGAAACATAGCCAAGAGGTTTGAAGCACCAGGTTGATTCTTAAGTCATACCCAGTACATAGGTTTGAACTTAAACCTCTTGATACTTCCTCCAAGGCTTCCATCTAGAGTTCCAAGTGAAACACAAGATTCACCTGATTGAAGAAGAACTTTAACATGACAATAACTGAAGACTTGGTTGTAAGATATTTGAAGCATTCAGAGGGTGAAAATTGTCTGTAGATACTATACCACAAAATAAGTTTTAGCTCACCTGGTAGGCTTACTTTTTTTTTCCACCCAGAAATTTATGCAGCAGTGCAACAGATTTAAAAGAACAACTAGATACAGAAGAACACCCTGATCCACCTGCACATTTGCTGCAGAGCCGTGGAATGGGAACTCCTGTTCTTGAGGAACACATACCAGGTACAGTCCAACCTTAATTAATTGCCACATCCCTACAGTGCATTAATTCTTATGTTAATCTCTCTATGTTGCCACCTCTCTATATCAGAAACAGCTTCTAAAATGTGTCCCAAATAGCAGAAAATTACTTTGAGAAGCTAAAAAATCTTTATCTTTTTGTTAATTCTCCCCTTAGTGGCTACGCATATCCTTGTAATAAAGGTATGAGAAGTTAGTGTTAGATCAGTTTAACAACTTCTCCTGATAAGTTTGAGTATTCTCATCACCTGTTTGCTGGATAATGCATGGACACGATAGGCAGAAGTTTCATATTAATCACTTCTACAACACTCTTCTTTGTCGGTTCATGCTCTGAAGTTCAGAATTGTGTTAAGCCCTTAGCCCACAGATCTTGTTCTTTGACACCCAGTCTAATTTGTTTTTCTTCTGTTTCTTGTTTTACAGTGCACCCTGAAGTGGCAGAGATCTTGAGGAACTCTAAAGGTCGATTAATTGATGGCAAATGGCACAAGCCTTTGTACAATGCCAGAGGATTGGCAGCTTTAAGAAATGAATATATAGCTAAAGGCATCTATTGGCCAGAGAAACCAATGCGTGACAGAGGCCTGGATAGAACACCAAAAGGACACAAGCGAGCGATTCGAAAGGAAGAGAGGTGAATGATTGTATATATCAGTAATGTGAAATCTGATTATGTAGTCTAAACATCTGAATCTGGGTGAGGGTAGTCCCAAGAAGGACTGTTTTCGGTAGTACTGACAGACATTTTGACAATGTGAGCAGAAGTGATCATCAAAGTCGGTGATGATGGCTTCTAACTCTGGTGAGGACCTTCTCTCAAGTTGTCAAAATGTCAGTCACCACTACCAACAGCAGCCCTTCCCAAGGTTACCAACAGCAGCCCCTCCCAAGGCTACCAACAGCGGCCCTTCCCAAGGCTACCAACAGCAGCCCTTCCCAAGGCTACCAACAGCGGCCCTTCCCAAGGCTACCAACAGCGGCCCTTCCCAAGGCTACCAACAGCGGCCCTTCCCAAGGCTACCAACAGCGGCCCTTCCCAAGGCTACCAACAGCGGCCCTTCCCAAGGCTACCCTCGCACTCATGGTCAATTGACATAACCATTTTTCCGGTTTGCCCTCCTGCCAAACTGATATTCTTCACAACTCAGAAAACAACTCCAAAATTTCACACTTAGCTCTCTTAACCCTTTAATTCCTAAGACCTGATTGTTAATTCTCCTCTCTAACTCCTACCAATTTCCTTGTGAATTAGTTACGAGAATTTGGTGTTAGATCAAGGTTATAACTTTTACTTGATAAGTTTGAGTATTCTCATTACCTGTTTGCTGGATTAAGTCAGGATATTACAGGGAGAATTTTCTTGTTGATCACTCGTGGGAGTTGAAAGTGTCAAAGAAGATATAAAAAGGAGTTATATAACGTTACTTCTTTTCTGCTCCCTTCCTAGACTAGCAAGAATCGCTGAAAACATGGCCAAGATGCCAGAAATTGTCGCCGATTATCGTAAAAGGATGCAAGAAAAGAGAGCCAAATTGAAACAGGAAAAAGAAGAGGCGAGACTGCGAACAATTAATGCGCAGAGGCTTGGCTATGATATCAGAGATCCTCGAGCCTTAATGGCGATGCAAGGGGAATTCGTAGACCTTCAGAAGAAAAAGAAATGGAAGAAACAAAAGAAAGAGAAAGTGAAAAGCATTTCATAAATGAAAAGTAATTTGAAGCTTTTGAGTAAAGTGTTATCTTTCCAGACAATTTGCTTTTATCGACTGAAATGATAGAGCGGTCTTCGATTGAGTGTCATAGAACCAAAACCTAGGTTATCGCAACGACCAATCAGGAGAAAGGAAATACTTTTAAGAGCCAATGAGAACTCAAGTAAAGACAACCAAACTTGCCTAAAGCGCGGGAAAACGCCGGCGGCCAGGTCGTGATTGGTTTCAGTCTTACCTCTGATTGCTTGAGAGAGTAGCGTGAGTTTTCTGGACCAATCGGAGAGCGAAGGAAAGCAGAACGAATTCAATCTCGGATCACTTTCGATCCTCAAATTGAACATTGCCACCACAAAGAGATTCTTAAACTGATGATTCGAGAGTTATCCCTCTGACGAAGGGCTTGTAATACCCCCCTCTCCTTCCCACGAACGCAACACCACAGTTTCTTTAAAAATTCACTCTCTTTGCTCATTTGTTATTTTTCTAATGATTAAAGGCTGATAGTTTCGAAAGAAACTGTTTGGGGCTGCGTCGGTGGGAGTAACGAAATAATTTGGATATATCCACGAAGTTGAAATGGTAAATTGGCCACCGTAACGATTACAAAAGCTGACGTTTCGAGCGTTAGCCCTTCGTCGGAGCGAAAGACGAAGGGCTAGCGCTCGAAACGTCAGCTTTTGTAATCGTTACTGTGGCCAATTTACCATTTCAACTTTGTTATTTTTCTAGTTGAGTTGCCTGGATATCAAGACAGCCTATGGGTGCCACCATTAGTTGAAACCGGCTGATGAGTTGGTTCGATAAAAAAACCCGTTAGGACCCCTCTCCCTAACTTTCCAATTAATTACATCTAAAGGGTAAAAGCAATTTTTGAATAGCGTGGCGATTTTCGTGAGTACACTTCGTCGAAATAGCGCCCTTACTCAGTATTCAATACAGTCTTGGCTTGCCTCGGTTTCCCATCGTAACGCGTAAATTTTCAGACCATTATATTACTTGAAATAAACAGTAATCTGTCAATTTGAACTTACAAAGTTAACGTGAATGTCACCGTCTGTTTTCACTTGAATGTTGACGTATTTCCATCCTTAGCTTTCCTAGTCGCCTTCAAATTTATCTATATTTCAGCGAGTGCGTTTAGAGGACATTCGGTTAAGTTAGAAGTTCGACCCAAGAAAGGCGAGAAGGACGCAGTTTTTTGGGAAAGGGGTCTGCTCCTTCGTTGTATATGTTGTAGTTCAATTTTATACTTGGTTCAAATTTTATTTTCCTTTGTTCTCGGTCATGTTAATGTATGATAATGAGTTTGAAACAAAAGAAAATAAAATTTGAACCAAGGAGAAAATTGAACTACAACATATACATCCCTTCACCCTACTTCCACCACCAGTTTTGGTTTAAAAAGTCAAAATTTTTTCTTACGAAATTCCCTTCTGATGCATTGACACTTATTGACCTCGGCCTGAAATTCAACCGTAAACACTTCGCAGAGGAAAGTATGCAAAAGGAACAAAAGAACCAAAGCAACTTTTACGCGAACATCTTGTTTCACCTTTTATTTTCTATTTTACAAAGCAGAGACGAGCCCAAGTTTTGCCAAAGTTTGCAAGAGTCTTAGCTGAGTTTTTAAGACCTCGGCTTTCTGTTTCAGTCACGCATTTAGCGCTCTATTTGTCTGCCAAAACGCCATTGCATTTGTTTAACTTGTAGTTCCTGGGTTTGCAGAACAGAAGTAGCTCACCTGAATAATACTCAGCGGTATTTTTAGTTAATGCAGCGGTAATCAAAAACTATCCAAAGGTAGGTGAATAACAAAGAAACTGAAAATTGAGAACTCTTCATGATCAGTATGATAGCCTAGAGATCTTTTTTTTCCTCTTGCAGGTGCTATGCTATTCCCGCCACTGGCGTAATTTTGTTAACTGAGCAATCTCGTCTTCCATCGTACTAAATAGCATGGCAACTGATACAAGACCCACGATAATCCACCAAAGAACACCGTGTGGTGCATGTTCTGCGGCACATAATCATCTCGAGACCTAAAATAGAGAAAGCGACACGGAAGTGAGAACTCAAATGAAAACTATGCCCTAAGGGTTCTATACTATTTCATTCGCTGTCCTTTATTAAAACCAACACCTCTGAAGCCGCTATTGTTTTCTTACCTATCGTTGTCAAAGTCACAAAGCAATAATAGAACGCTTCAAACAACGAACACTCCTCCCACAAGGAGAACAGCAATGTACCAGCCGCTAGATACGTTGCAGTTATGCTCAGTACGCTCTTAAAAGTAAGTTTTTCCTCCTGCGGGACTTTCATTTGTCAGCGGTTCAGAGCTGGAGTCGTCTTTCCTATGTGTTTCTGCCTCGATTTTTTTCTTTCGCTTCACAGTGGAGTGCAAAAATTGAATCAGGCTGAAAAAGAAATTCAAAATGTTAAAACGCTGGGCTAAAAACGACCGTGATTTTCAAAGCGTCGGTATTAAGATAAAGAGTGATAAATGTCGAATAAGATATAGTGATTGAGCGAACGATTAAACGTTGACCTGGGAAGAGCTAAAATCGAGAATTCAAGAGGTATCGTTTGAAACTGTTGTCGGCGTCAAATCCCTTTTGCTCAGAAAGATCCAATCTCCTCTTGTAAGAGCGCAATTGATTGGTTGCCACAAAATTATTGAGTGCGATAACCTCCCTCTCCCGTCCCCGCATTCCGCTCGCTCCGCTCGCCCCAATCCCCCTCCTCTCCCCAAGGGCTTGCTTGGCAGGCTACTTATTTCTCAGGACATAAAACCTTTAATAAACACGATTCTCGTTCCTTAAAGCTCTACCCTTGCTGTCCCACTGTTCAAGTCAACGAGGGTCTTATGGGGTTAAACGTTGGCCGTAGAGCGGCCGACAAAAACCTAGCCGTTAGGCGTAAAAAAAATTGACAATAATCTTTCACAGTTAGTCGTTAAAAAGAAATCTTCAGTGTGTCATTTTGAGTTGACGGTAGTCGTAAAATGGCCAAAAATTAATTAACCGTTAGCCGTAAAAGTCATTACCCCACATTGAGACCCTCTTCAACGGTTTCTTCGACTCGGAGGCACACAGAACGAGGTTGGCATGGGCGCGATAGCGCATGAACATTAGGCCCAGTTCAAACGTCGAATTTCACATGTGCAGAACTTAACTCCTATTTTAGTCGACTAAAATAGTTAAATACGGCATTTGATTCAAACGTCGAATTTAACGCTGTCGCATTTAACTCTGTTCGCTGTCAATATTCCCAGGCGCACTACTTTAGGCCCAGTTCAAACGTCGAATTTCGCATGTGCCGAACTTCACTCCTATTATAGTCAACTAAAATAGTTAAATTCGGCATTTGTTTCAAACGTCGAATTTAACTCAGTACAGTCGAATTTAACTCTGTTCGCTGCCGATATTCCCAGGCGCACTACTTATTTGCTAGACGAAGATGTCTATTGAGTGTTTGCTTAATTGCTTCACTGATTCTCTTGTTTTGCTGTTTGTTTTTACTTCTCTATCTTGGCTTTTCGTCATGATATTTTCACTTGATTCACGTACCATCATTTCGTTGAAACACGACCCACAATATGCCACACAGTTTCCTACTTCCACCCAGGAGTGCCCTCTTCGTTTTCAAAAACCGAACACCTCATACAAAAGTAATTGTCGCACGTCAAACAACTGTATTTTGTCTTTTCAAAGCAAGAACTACAAATTCCTTCGTCTCCTACCATTTTTTTGTGCTCTTTTGGCTTTTTAAAAAGTCGCATTTAATTTAAAACAGTCGAATTTAATTGATTCAAACGTCGCACCTCACACGCATTTAAGGCCCGGTTCAAACGTCGAATTTCACATGTGCCGAACTTAATAATGCGAGAGTTACATGCATGTGAAGTGCGACGTTTGAATCAATTAAATTCGAGTGTTTTAAATTAAATGCGACTTTTGCCGTATCTGCAACTGAAACAGTCCAAGATTCGACTTAGGTTCGACTTTTGATTCAAACGTCGCATCTCGCATGTGCCGAACTTAATGCATGAATTACAGGAAATTATTATAATTCATTTATTACCCACAAATCGCCAGGAATTCTATGAATGCCATACGAGAAAAAGCCAAAACAGCACAAAAAATGATCGGAGACGAAGGAATTTGTAGTTCTTGCTTTAAAAAGACAAAATACAGTTGTTTGACGTGCGGTAATTACTTTCGTATGAGGTGTTCGGATTTTGAAAACGAAGAGGGTACTCCTGGGTGGAAAGTAGGAAACTCTGAGTACTGTGGGTCGTGTTTCAATGAAATGATGGAACGTGAATCAAGTGAGAGTATCATGACGAAAAGCCAAGCTAAAGAAGCAAAAACAAATAGCAAGAGCATCAGTGATCGAAGCAATTAAGCAAACGCTCAATAGACATCTTCGTCTAGCAAATAAGTAGTGCGCTTGGGAATATCGACAGCGAACAGAGTTAAATTCGACTGCACTGAGTTAAATTCGACGTTTGAATCAAATGCCGTATTTAACTATTTTAGCCGACTAAAATAGGAGTTAAGTTCGGCACATGTGAAATTCGACGTTTGAACTGGGCCTAAAGTAGTGCGCCTGGGAACTGATTGACAGCGAACAGAGTTAAATTCGACTGTACTGAGTTAAATTCGACGTTTGAATCAAATACCGTATTTAACTATTTTAGTCGACTAAAATAGGAGTTAAGTTCGGCACATCTGAAATTCGACGTTTGAACCAGGCCTTACTTCCCGTTCAAAGATGCAACGCTTGTGCATGAAGAAGACACGTCAAGACACACACAGTCTTTTCCTAACCTATCGTACGCCAAAGATGTGCAGTACACTGTATCAAACACTTCAAGTAACAAAACTTAGTTTCAATGATCTCAAACAACAACATATATTATGATGGTCGATTCGTCGTACACCATCGAAATTGAAGTATTTCTAAAAAAAAAAAACAAGGTTGGATGTATTGTGGAAAACGAAGACATAAAAAGTAACGAACCCAGTAATTAGAGATCCTAGACTAACGGCGACTACATTGAACAAAGGTATTCCAACAAATCCATACAGGATACAGAAAATACAACCAGGGATGGACATCGGGGTAAAATTGCCATAACCTGAAGGCTCGAAAGCAAGAACTTGTTAGTTCAGTCAGTGCCCTTCTTCCTCGACTCATTCCCCCACTTCCCTTCTCTTCCCTCCTTCACTTTGCCATTCTGATACCGGCCAACCAAAATAATTTGAATTTCATATTAGACAAAATTGAGTACAATGAAATGCAGCTCAATTTAGTTTCAGCGCAAAAGCCTAAAAGATTAAAATTTCGATCACACAGGAAGAATCAAGAAGAAACAAAACAAAGCTTATTGGATAGAAATTCAATAAAATAACTCCGGATTCCTCTTACCGATGGTAGTAAATATTGTGCAAGCAAATAACCATGAATCAGCTAAGCTCCTTTCGTTAAGAATCGACAACTCCGCATTAAAAGCTTTTTCGTATGAATCCAATTTGTTTTTCGCTAGCACAGACCACTAGTCAAACTCAAGATCAAGATCTTTTCCCCTCCACAGGTCCACAAGTAGTTCATCTCTAGAGATTCCTTGCCGGCCGTCTAACACTGACACACGTTCAGTAGCCTCAAATTTCCTTAAAACGAACGCGCCGAATAACCCATAGATGATTAAAATTCCGACTAATACAACGTTGTAAGTCATATGCGCTCCAATTTCCCTTATAGTCCTCATACTTTGAACCGTATGAAGCACAATGAAGCTAAAATTGCTTTGTCTGTCGGTAAAGTTCAGGGGCGTAGCCAGGATTTTTCAAAGGGGGGCTCACAGAGGCTACTCACCATTTACAGCGCTGCTCTCCCGCGCGTATCAGGGGGCTCAGAATATTGTAGGTTGTTTGCTCTAAAGAAGACCAACAAAGGGGGGGTCATGGGCACCCCAGGACCCCCCTGGTTACACCATTGAAGTTACCCTAACGACCTGGCGACTGTCTTATGTACCTCCGTAGCTGGTCTGTTTGTTTATTTGATTTGTTTTTTTCTTTCTTTTCTTATTTTACCTCATTCGCATTCAAAAGCTTACTTATAATGCAAATTGACGACTCATATTTAATAATTAATGGCTAAGTACTTTACTTTGTCTGCGATGCAAACGATATCCCTGTAATCAACAAGAATAATTTATTGCAACTCTGAATTTTCGTTATAGCTTAGAATTTCCAGACAGTTTTCATACAACAAGGTATTGACACAGTTAAGTCCCTCTTCTCCTCCCCGAAATAAATCGGGAAGCCTTTGTGACAATTTAAAAACGTATAGCTTTCCACCATAATCAACCACAATATTCGATGGCTCCCGCAAACTACCATGGTGTCACGTGCACCGATTTACGAACAGCATGGCTTCCTTCTTGGATTATTTTGGAAGAGTCTGGCAGCGAGAGTTCCCACAACCGAACACTTCCGAGTCTCATTCATGACGCACAGACTTCGCTGCGCTCGGTTGGTGCGTCATGACCTCGAGGCAAATATTTTCCCGTCCGGCCCTCCCACTCAGTCAATATGTACATATTATTCAACACTGAAACTTGGGTAATTTAATTCAGGGGGGGGGGTGAGTTAAGAAGAATAAGAAGTATAAAATGACTTCTTCAAAGAAAAGAAGGGAAAGTTGTATCATTCACTCTAAATTCATGCCGCTTATGTGAAATTCGCCTATATATTATAGAGTCTGGGATGATTTTGGTTTCACAGCAACAAGTTTACAGTCAAAGGCATTTGCAGTGAAGTCAAACGGTGGGTTTCCAAACTTCTGCAACAATAGCTTAATTCTTTCTTGGGTGACAAGTTGTAGATCAAAAACTCCTTGTGAAGTGCTAACAAGCCACTGTAGAAGGCTTTCCACGCTGGGATAAACATTGACAGTTTTTCGGGCGTAATAGCTCCTCACAACAGTAAATCCTGCTGTCGTACATATAAGATCAACATCATCTCTCTTTACGAGATGCAACTTATTCTTTAATTGTTCATGTGTCTCCGGATTTAAAATTTCAAGCGAAGAAACCAGCAAGGGAGGTAGGGCATCCACATACTGTATTGCAACTTTCCCGCCAGGTTTCAAACTGTTCAACATGTTTCTGAACGCCTCGCTTTTTTCAGGTATCCAATGAAGAACAAAATTAGAAAATATAATGTCGAACTTTTCAGAGCCCATGCCTTCGAACTGATTTGAGTTGCCTTCTATAAAAGAGAGGTTCTCTACATGACGATGAGTTTCCTTGGCCAGTTGCAGTCGACTGAAGTTAGGATCGACGCCAATGATATAACCTCTTGGTCCGACCAGTTCAGCAAGGTAGGCAGACAACTCGCCAGTACCGCAGCCTAAATCCAAGATGGTATCTTCAGGTTTAGGAAGCACATCAGTGTGGATGAAGTTTTTACCGGCTTCCAGTTGTACTGTAGCTGAGCTTTGCTGATAAGACTCTGCGGCCATGATCACAGAAATTCGAACAACGGACAAGTTAACTTTGTTGAACTACTAAGAATAAACACAAGTGATATCAAACTTTGACACTTTCGGATGTCAATAGAAATGAAAGTCTCAAATTTATGCAAATAGCTGTATAATTAGTATAGGTAATCACATGATTTCGAGTGCAATTTGGAATAAATAAGCACGAGTAAATTTTTTCAAAGACTAACAAAATTGCATGAGCCCGTAGAGGAAAAAAGCCGGCAGGTGTACACGCATAAAAAACCGGGGCTCCGTTTGCTAAAGGTCTGGATCCGCCACTGAGTATGGAGGGCTATGGAAATAGGTAAAATCATGAGACAAGTAAGTAATAAGTAGTGGGCTCCTTGTAAAAACATATGTCTGGGGAAAAAAACAAAACAAAACAAAACAAACAAACAAAAAAACATATAGCTCTTGAACACATTACCTAAAACAGGGTCGGATCGGATCGGATCGGATCGGTTATGACCTTCTCTCCTTCGCTTCAATCACGTTGCGCACAGTCGCGCTGTTTACAATCGTGTTTCATGTAACCGAACGCCTGTAACGTATCGGAGTAGGTCAGGAATAAAATACGAAATAGCAGTTTCGAGTTTAGGCCTATATAGATTATACTAGTAAAAGTAGCATATTATGCTAGTAGCATTGCTTTTTTGGGCGAAATTATGCTAAAATTATGCTCTTTTTTACAAATTATGCCCCTTTTTTTTTAAATTATGCTCTTTGAAAAAATTGCAAATAAGTCCAAAAAATACATTTTTTAATTAGAAACCGTTGGTCTACAAGAAAGAAACGCAACAAATCCTCAATGAAATTCTAATAAACGTGTGGTTCATGTTAACCCAGGCTCAGACCGTTTCAGACGCTGCTTAGTGATTCACTGTTGAAGTAAGAATGCTACTACTTGAACTAAAACTTAAAACATCGAATAAGGTCACCAAGTGCTTAGGAGTAGAGATGAACAATGATCAAAATGGTGGCATCAAAAATGATCCGATAATTATCAAAATATGCGAATTATGCTAGCATTGATACTTGGCAGAAATTATGCCAGTTTGCTCAAATTATGCCAAAAATTATGCTAGCATAATCTATAAAGGCCCATAATCGCGTTGCCATGATCAAGAAATGACCCTTTCTTCTGAGCAAAGCAGTTCCATTGATCGTCTGTGTCGTCAGATACCAGACATACATAAAAATTCTAAATTTTAATCCATATATTTTGGAATTTTTATTTGATGATATTTTTTTCTATGATGTTACCCGTCGCGGTCAGGTAATAATCTTAGTGGTTAAACATAGGCCAATTAAGCTGTGTTGGATAAAACAACATGATTGGCTACTGAGTGAATTTGACCTGTCACTCACAATCGTGTGTTAGCTCATAAACGAAAGTCAAACGCAATGCTCGATTAACGTCTTGAACGGGTAAAATCTTCCAACGAGTCTCTAGTCTACAGTTATGTGGGAGTCGGATGGCAATCAAGAACTGAAGGACAAGAATACGGTGAGACTTTCTTCATATTATTTAATCCCAAAGAAGGAAGGCATTCTGTTTGAAATTGAGATCCATCGAGATACTTTGCTAGTTAGCTTTGCAATAGTCCCGGGAAAAATTATGTACGCGAAGCGTGTGTTTAAACCTTCTCGTATTTCCACAGGAGCGAACAGTTTCTGGAAAGCTGAGAGAGAAAACGAGAAAAGGAAGACCTAGAAAATCATTCACAAAGGTTTGCACTACTTATTGAATTGTTAAAAAGACTAAATAGCTTTAGATGAGCAATGCAGCGAACGCGGTTTTGTTGTGTTTACAAATCCCGGATGCGCTCGCATCGCGTTGCAACGAATATGATATTTCCTGCTCATATAAGTTTTCTTCACGAGATTTAATTGCATACTTCTTCAATCCTTCGCAAGTATTGCCCGTCAATTAGATAATTAGAATATTCTTTTTTTTGAAGAAATAAGAATTTCCATGGGAAGAACCACGTACTTATGGTTTGTCTCGACTTGCTCTCATTGGGCGCCATTTTGAAAGTTCTACCTTGCGTTTTTGCGGGATTTCTTTTAATTTGAGCTTCTGTTATTTACAAGGAACAGTTCGTATTACATATTGCCTATTCTCTTTCCCGACACTTTTTTTATAAGAGTCCTTCCTCAATTATCAGCGATTGTTGGTGTTAAGAATGTTTATGAAAATGTTTTTTTTAACTTAAAACACTACAATATTTGGACCGTATGGGCACGCAGCCACATATTTAAAACTGATTTCCTTTTTGAGATATTAAAAGAAAGGTATCTTATATTGGGTCTATGATTTCCGCACATCCCCATACTAGAGCAAAACAAAGCTTTTGTCCTGAAGGCAACTCTATTGTTCTCTCCACTGTTTTCTTCATCCAAGAACTGTGCATAATAAAGTATTCAGCGTGCGGAAATCCAACATTTTGTTTAGCCCTTTCACTTCCATGATCTTATTACTAATTCTCCATTCTGTCTAATCCATACAGTTCTTATCAGTGATGTTAGTTTGGATAATTTGGTATTGGATCAACTGATAATCCCTTAATTAATTTTTTTTTTTATTTCTTCTCATCGCTTGTCTGTTTGATTTTGTATTGAGATTGTAAAGAGAAATTCTCTTTTGGTCACTCATGGGAGTTATAGGGTTCAGCCAAAATTTTGTAAGTGCCCTTATTAAAAGAAGTATGGTATCTCTGAGCCCCTTGAAAGTCTGGAAAGCTGCCACCTCTGACACTTTTCTCATGGCCCTTACCATCTGAAATTTTCTTTTGTTATATTTATTTTTAACCACTTGTTACTTTCTCTTTGAAGACCCTGCTGAGTTTATTTAAGTCATAAAACAGATTGGGCTTTCTCTCAAAGTCTTACTGAGTATATAATTCTCCTTCTATGCTTTTTATCTCTTGAAATATCTTATGGCTGCTGCCAGATCTCACTCCACAGATGTGAGAATGCTGTGAGTAAGGATCAGAATCTGTGGTCTCTCACCAGCTCACTCTTTGCTACCCAAGGAAAAACATTTGCACCATTGTAGCCATAATATACATGTTTTCTGTGCCAAAATCTTTGAAGTGTCCTCAGAAATCCTGAAGCATCTTTGAACAATACCAAGCCCTCTATAGAATATTCTGACACAATTTCAAGAGAAAATTTTCCTCCCTTTGACCCAAAGAAAATTTGGCAGGTATTATTACGTAATGAACCAAAAAATGTTATAGGGAATTTGTTTAATCCCCCCAATCTTCTCTTTTGGTTTTTAAATTCTTTTTACATATAACTGAGCAGCCACTGATGTCAAAAGCAGGCAGGATTTTTTCCAATATTCTACTTTTCAGCAATAATCCAATGTACCTAGTACTTTTATCACCTTTTCTCGAATGTATCTGATATTTCAGACTAAGTAAAAGCAGGTGAAACAGCTGGTCTTGTTCATTGTGTTTAAATACGATTCTCAATTTAAATGACATACCTATCCCACTCAAATGGTGGATCATGGTTAAACTTTCAACAGTAAAATAGATTTCCTCTAGCTTTTAGTGGACCTTTAGGGTAATTCAAGTTTCCTTTCTCTTGCTGGGTGCTGGTGCTATGTTAAGGGATTCAAGGGTGACACAGAATGATGCAGGGGAAGAAATCAAAACAAAGCCTTCAAAACTGTAGTTGTTTTCTTTAGGAAATACCTACAAAAAATTCTAGGAAGGAAAACTTAAAAAAACAAGTTGTGTAGCATGCTATTCAGATGACTAGATACTTTCTTTATGAAACTTTCCAGAGAGAGAGAAGAAGTGAGATGAAGAAAACGGGGAAATTGATGGGGTGTCAGAATATGAGAAATAACACTGTAGACACACTGCCAAAGACCTGGGGTGCTGTGGTCCCTGCTGTTGCGAGATGATTTTTCATATGAATATCACAATTGAGGTTTATGAAAAAGGTT